TCTAAAAAGGACTTTGCTGCAATCCTAATGTTTAATTTTAATCGAAATATAAAAGCGCAATTTTTTTTTTAGTTCTTAATGTATAAAAAAAACATAAAATAAGAGATCAAATCAACGTGAATTAATTGGCAAGTTTAGCAATTTATCATACCGCTAACAATAAGTCACATTTTATTCCACAGAAGCAGACGAAGCAGAGCGTACAGATGGGATTACAATACTCGGGGTGACAACGCCGACCATCAAAACGACGATCACGACGAAGACATGCATGACGACGAGAACGGTCAGACGAAGGCGATGGATCAGCCTAAGGCTGATTATTGGGCCGGCTATTACGATTTTCTCATAAACGAGGGAAGCTACAAATTCTGGGCAGTCTTTCAGGTAATCCTGGCAATCGAGCACCTGATTTCTATTCCAACGTAACCCATGATGACTTCGAATTCAAATACGTGTTGTCGCGTTTGCATCAGCTCGCGACCGCGGCTCTTCTGATCTACAGCGCTTTCGCGGCTCTCTACTACGCCAAAGTGAATCCGCCGACCACGGACGATTATTTCGACGATATACTCCGCCGGCGACGGCGACGAAGGAGACGCCGCTCGCTTCCGCCCGTGGCCCGTGACAGACCCTTCGCCGGACTCGACACCGTCACGTTTCAAAGGATAATCGAGGCCGCCGAGCGAGCACGTTGATTTTCGCTTCGATCTATCTCTTTAACAAAGAAAGAGTTACGCCGTACGCGGTAAATAGAAGTTAAATAACACAAGCGATCAAACACGTTCGAGCGGAGTCTTTGAAAGTGCGAGGAGAACGACGGGACGGTGAGCTGCGAAAACGCAATCGATTCCCTGTTTTGTGAAAACAGGTGGCTGCTTCTAATTAGCATGGAATTAGCGAGCGTAATGTAACACTTACATCTATAAGTTTCGAAAGTTACTTAAATTATTTACAGTGTATATAGCGTAGAGTGCAACGTGTGCATGTGTGTACGTGTGTTCGTGTTAATCCATAACTTCGGTAAGAAACATTTGTATGGAGATATTAAGATTAAGGTGTGTGTAAGATTAAAGAGAGAGAGAATCGGGAAGATTAATCGGATTATCGGAAATAATGAAAACAAAGCGACAGATAAATCATGCTGTCGCGCAAACGTTAGTCGAATGAAAGGTAGTTGATTAAACAATTCGGCGACGAACGCGTATACGCGTCGAACGTTCTCGGGCCTGGCCCGAAGAGAATAAGCCGTGGGGACCCGAAAGCCCGGGGGCCGGTCTGGCCATCCATCTGGCGATGGATGGCTCGGTGGTTAAATGTAATGCCGCGCTACGGGATCAAAACGTAATAAAAATCTCCCGAAAAAAATGTCAATCGATAAATCAGGCGTGACGCGACGGCGAACCGCTGCACGGATCGTCGTGCGACGCCGGTGCCAATGCCACGCGATGCTGCTCCTCTCATCTCCTCATCCTCCCTCTTTCATGTATGCGTACATCTTTTATATATATATATTAGCTACACGAAAAGAAACGGTTTTGCCAAAGCATCTAAAAATTTTGACACTAAATACAGATCTGAAAATACATGATCTGTCCCAAAAGTAATAAGATTAATTCTGGCAAACCGTGTATTTTATTGAAAATACACTTAATATTTTCGGAAGAGCACACG